AACCGGGCACTAGGGGCAGCCAGGGACTTGGAAGCGAATGCCCAGGCCTGTGAGGATGTTGTCGGGAATCCAGGAGGCAGAGGCGAGACCGAGGGCAACCCGCAGGTGGGCCCGGAGCGCCCTTTCTTGCACGGTGTCGGGAAGGGAGTAGTGGGAGCGGTAGGGGATGAGCGCGATGAGGTAGGTGTTCCAGGCGAGGGCAGTTTTGGTGGGAGACATGCTGGCAAGGTGCAGGGCCATGGCTCGGTCCCGTAGCTTGGGAAGAGGCTTGCCCCAGGTGCCGGCAACGAGGGCGTCGAGTTGCCCTCTTGTCATTGCAACCCGGGGCGTTAAGCTTTCTCCTTCGGCGGCCCGAGATACGACGCAGGCGCCAAGGTAGGGCCACTGGGAGCGAACAGCGGACGAGCCAAAAAGGGTGTAGTCCATGGTGCGTCTCCACCACTCGTGGTTGCTGGCAGGAACCAGTGCCGTTTTAAAATTGCAACTGCATGGGCGGCTCCAGGGAGTGCACTGCGCCGCGATTTCTGGGCCGCCGGTTCTCCTGATCATTTCCAGGATAAGCCCCGCCGGCAGGCCTGTGACTGTCGCAGTGGTGCCATTATCAATGAAGTCCACAGGGGCAGTGTCCAGGTGCTGCCTGACGTTGATTCCGGATGGGGCTTTAATGCCCCTGCACTTGTGGGCTTCGACTAGGAGCCCCGCAGCTCTTGCAAGCCAGGGCAGCGCGATGCCGGCACGTAGTGTTTGGGCGGTGGCGCCCAATAGGGCGGCCAGATCGTCCACGTACGCCGGGTCGTCCGCCCCGGTGATGTCGGCAAGGGCGCTGATGAGAGGGTCGTATCCCAAGCGCCAGAGGAGTGGGGAGGCCGCGCCTCCCATTCCGATGGGCCGCAAGAGTTTCCATATTCTGCTCTTGCACCTACCTTTACAGGTGCGCACGCTCCTGCTGCCGACGAGGCAATCCACGGAGCGCAGGAGCCAGCTAGGGAATTGCCATCGCCTCGCCAACTGCCCCATCCATTGCAAGGATATGCGCTCAAAGGCTTTATTCTGGTCGCAGAAGAGGACAGCAGTGCTTGGGGCAGGGCCGAGGTGCCTTGCGGCGCCCTGTATATACTGGTCAACAGCGTCTTGGTGCGCGCCTAGCAGGGCGGCCCACGAGGGCCCGGGTTCGGCGTCGGCGACTGGATCCAGGGCGAGGTGGTTGGTGGCGGAAGTGATATTGGGACCGCATTGCCCCCCGCGCTTGGCAGCTTGATTGGGGCTAAGCCTGGGTTCAATCGCGGGGCCGAGGCAGTCGGCTACGGTTGCTCCGTGCAGTCTTCGTAGGCAAGTGGGGAGCTGCAAGAGCCGCATGTCGTTGGGAAGCTCGGCAGCCGGTTTCTTGCCAATCCAGACCAGAAGATCGATGGAGGGGCCGAGGACCAGGTCTAGGAGTTCTGGATTCAGCTCCGCAGCATACCAGGCCTAAGCGAGTTGTCCAGCAACGAAGCGGGCTCCGGGATGGTACAGCTCGCACGGTTCTCCGTCCACCCCGGGGGCGCTGCCGCTAGGGCCTAGAACGAGGGAGGCGATCCTGCCCCACTGCGGGTTGGGAGAGCGTGGGAAATGTCCAGTGTCCTTGTGCCTGAAATATTTGTTGAGGATACGGTCAGCGGCAGGGGGAAGGGGGGGCGGTTTGCCAGATCGGACTTCGGCTCCGCCATAGAACATCGTCGACTTCCTTCGTGCGCTCCTTCCAACTTCCGTCCGCGTCACGCACTCCGAGGATAGCGTGTGTCCTGACGAAGATTTCTCGTCCCGTCCGGTAGTGGGAGGCGAGAGCGGGGCGCTCGACCCCGGGGCCCCTTTGCGCGGGAGTGAGGCGGGCGGCGCGTCTCTGCGCAGCGTCGTTGTCCCACCTCCGCAGCCAAAGGGCAGCCTGCTGAGGTGTCAAGTCGTTGCCGTCCCACTCATATTCAGCGAGCCAGGCCGCGAGTGCCCCCACCGGGCGTGTGTTGGAGTCAGATCTTACTGCAGCCGCGAGCAGGGTCCCTGGCGAGCGGTTGGTTTTGCTTCTGCGCCACTTCCTCCACCAGTCCTGTATGGCAGCGGACAT